GAGCGCCAGCAGCATGCGTGGAGCTTGTGGCGGACATGGCCCTGATGGCAGGCTAGGCCTAGGAGACCCTACACACGCACTATTTAATCGTGTACTGGGCCTCTAGTATATATATAATTACAATTTCAAAAATGCTCAACTTACTCACTGACTCGCAATACACGAGGCGTTTCAGAATCTTCAATCTGCAATATTCTAATAGTGAATATGCTGTGACTAAAAGAAATATACAAAGATCAAGGGTTATATTCCATTTTAATTTCTGCATTCTGAATAGGAGAAACAAGCATCTAAATCAACATCTACTTATACCCTAATACTAGCCATACCTCTAGCATTGCATTTCCCAACTAGCTTGCCGGTATTTTAATTCAGTGTTCCACTGCCACTTACATACCCGTGTGTCTAAAACCAAATATCTTACCTTCCATTTAGCTCCAAGTCCCTTGAACCTGCTCCTCTTAACATTCCAACTTCTACTAATGTAAATCATTTATAATAAAGTCTCAATTTGCTTACAAAGATCATATTATTAGTTAAAGCAGTATTATGTACAGCTAATCTTCTTTAAGTATATACCTAAAGCAAAGCATATATTTGGCCAAAATAAGGGCTTATCTAAGGGGTCAAGGCTCTTTTACACTTAAGGAAAGACACGTTTTAAATGTCATTACATTAAAGTATTTCCTTTTGTCTCTCACCCTCCAATTCCTCCCATCAAAATATCATATTTTTAATGCCTTGAGATTCTCTCTTAACAGTATGTTTGTGTTCATGAGTTAACTGGAAAAGATACAAAGTCCTCCATTATAGGCAGCTCTTCACATATTAAGTTTAATCATATAAAGAAAGAGTAAAAATACAGTAAATGCTTTGTCAAAATAAGAAATAGTCCTGATAATCTTATGTGTTTAGCACTCTTTACAGTTTTTATGCCTATGAACTCATTTAACATATCAGAAAACCTACTGCCCACTTTAAACTTAAGTTAGTTGCATTTACATTAGCATAACCTGGGTGCCTCAGGCTTACACCATAGGATTTACTCCTTACCTCCTACTAGAAGCATTGTTCATTTTTGTGAAGGCAACACTCTGGTGCTTTATTCCTAGTTTTAAAAGTCTATATGCTTCTTTGGAATCAGAGACTTGAATCCATTGTAGATCTTTAAAAAATAAATGGGACACATATCTATATCTATATATTTAAAAGCCTAATATGCAAATTGTCCCCCTGGGAGTTCGACTGGGAGACCGATTGCTCGCTATGACATTCCACACCAGGGGGCGATGTGGAATGAAGAAAGGCCCCAGCCGGCAGCCAGCAGCCAGCAGCCAGCAGCCAGCAGCCGGAAGGCCCCGATCGGCCCTGATCACCGGCCAGGCCTAGGGACCCTACCCATGCATGAATTTTGTGCACTGGGCCTCTAGTCAATTAATAAAAACCCAGTATTTGTTGTACAATGTAATCTCATTGAGGATTTGTAATCTCTTTTCCCAAAGACATATAATGAAATCTTTCTTTTAATAACATGCCCTAGGTGGAGTCAACTCAACTATTCCATATTCCATTAGAAAAGAGGTATATAAAGAAAGGGCATTTAAATAACTTTCCAGTATTTAAGTTATACAGACACGCAAAGTAAATGTTATTTTACAAAGTCATACAAAGGGAAAATTAAAATCGAGTAAGAGCCAGGCCAGCCTGGCTCAGTGGTTGAGTGTTGACCTAGAAATCAGGAGGTCACAGTCTGATTCCCAGTCAGGGCACATGCCCCAGTTACTAGCTCAATCCCCAGTGCAGGGCATGCAGGAGGCAGTCGATCAATGATTCTCTCTCATCATGTATTTCTATCTCTCTCTCCCTTCTCCCTTCCTCTCTGAAATCAATAAAAATATATATAAAAAATAAAAAGTAAAAAATAAATAAATAAAACGGGTAAGATTCCTTAGAATTAGACATCCAGGGAAAAGAAAAATGAAAAACAAAACACAGTACATATTAAACCTACAAGACTACCTAGCTGTGTTAGAATTCATTAATGAATCATAAAATCAAATTTATTTATATTCATAAATAGCATTTTATAAAAATGGAAGTAGGATATAGAAAACATCAAAGTGCATTCCTTGTAGTAAGGGTAAGTATAATAAAACTTCTGAGTTGTAAATATATTGTATACATATATTATTAATATGTATGCATCTCGTACTGTGAGTAGTGGTTTAAAAGGTTGGAAAGATATCACTGTAGAAGAACAAAAACATTTCCGAATCCCCAAAGTTTGGACACTATTACAAAGCAACAGAATAATGAGAATATCAATAGCTTTTCCCATTTTTCAAAATTCAATCAATGATACTCAAATAAACACAATACTTACTAAAATAAACCCCTTTGTATTCAGGTTTAATTAGCATACCAAAACATATTTGCAGAGCATAAACTTCCCTTATCTTGATGTTAATAATTGGTAATAAATTTTTCAATTTCCAGTTCGCTTTCATATAGCTAATAACAAACCCTCAAAAGCTACTTCAGAACAATAAAATAGTAAGTACCCATTAGTATACCTTTTATAAAAGAATAGCCCTTTACATCTTGGGAAAGGCGTAGCATCTTTCTCTTCTGAAACTTGGATGACACAGGAACAAACAAGTCATAAATATACTCATTATAAATCTCAAAGAAAGAAACCCACAGAGAAAATTTTATGTTATTATCCATATTGAAGCTAGCTTGTTCACAATCTTTCATAGATTCTTCAAACTCAGGAATATTCAAAGAGTTTGTTAAACTTCCTACAAAAAATAAAAAAGAATAATCACAAAATTAAGCAATTGACTGAAAAATGAGACAACAGAATAGATCAAGAATCCTACACTTCAAAAACTAAGTACCTTAAATCTTTTGACTAGCAATGTTAAATAAGGTTTGGATCAAAGCAGATGTAACTAATATTTGTACTAACCAAAGTTTGGCTTCCCCTTTTCTTTTTGAAAATATACCAATGTCTAAACTGAAAGTAAATGTAAAGGACATTTAAATTCAACATGAAAGTCACAACCAGTGAAATGGGTATCTGTGATATTAAATCCAAATAAACTTTATAGTAAATGACATTTCATATAGCTCTGTACCATTTTCCAAGTATTATTATGTCACTGAAGAATTAAATAACAAGCTTTTCAAAAATTAAAAGCTTTGCAATATAATCATTTTAAAGGTGACAAAAGAAACCTTACCATAAAGAGTATCATAACTGTCATTTTGCATAACAACCTAAAAAAGAAAGATATTTTTAGAAGTTAAAAAACATTTTTAGCTAAGATTAAATAACCAATATATTAATTACCTATCCAAATAAGCCAACAACCAAACACCTTTCATCTACTCAATGACCTCTGTCTATTAATATTTTTTTATTGATTTGAGAGAAAGAGAAATTTATGCATTCATTGGTTGCTTCTTGAATGTACCTTAACCAGAGATCACACCTGAAACCTTGGCATATCAGGACAACACTCCAACCGCCTATTAACTTTATTCCTAGATTTTTCGGTTTTTTAAAATATATTTTTATTGACTTCAGAGAAGAAGGGAGAGGGAGAGAGACAGAAACATCAATGATGAGAGAGAATCACTGATCAGCTGCCTCCTGCACTCCCCACACTGAGGATTGAGCCCACAACCCATGTGCCCTGACCAGGAATTGAACCGTGACCTTCTGGTTCAAAGGTCAACATTCAACCACTGAGCCATGATTGCCAGGTACTTTTTTCCTAGTTAAATAATACATTCTCACAAAAGAAATCTGGGAAACTATATACGAGCATTAAAAAAGACATCATCATATATAATCCCTGCCATTCAGAGGCAATTATTCTTAATATTTCAATATATTCCCATCTATTCTTTTCTCCACACTTATTACATTGTAAGTTTTTTTTTTTATCTCTATAATTAAATTTATTTGTAAACATTTGGTGGCCGCATAACTGAATGTTTTATGACTTAATTATTCTATTATTGAACATTTAGACTACTTACAAAGCTTTGTCATAAAAGTAACAAGACATCTTAATTTTCTTCCTTCTTTATGCTAATCATTTCCTTAGGTATATACCTAAGTCTTAATTGGTAGAAGTAATAAAAAAAAATATAAGTTCTCACTCTTAACAGTATTGCCAAATTGCTTTCTAGAAACACACTTTATAATCAGTATATGAAAATAACTCATTGTTTAACATTTTTAATTTTATAGGCAAAAACCTATTTTGTTTTAAATAGAAATAACTTAAGAAAATTTTTTTCGGCGAAAAGAAGATGGCGGCGATATAGGCAGACGCATCTCTATTATCTATGAAATTTTCTAAACATCTCCATGATTTCTGTTAATATTCTATTTTACTTTCACAGACCACCATCATGAACTCTGAACTCCACTAATCAACAACTTTTTACTACCTTGACACCCTGATTTCTAAATATCTTAAAAAAGAAAATCCCCACCATATTTTGATAATATTTATAAAAGCTGTCAGTAATTTTTAATAATTGTAATAAGATAAATTTCTGAAAACATAAAATTCAGAAGGCAGAGGTGAAATAGACAAAAAATAAAAGAGATCAAAACATAACCTAATTGGTAAGAGACACATGAATTAAGATAGTAAGAGACTTAAAATGTATTAAATGAGCAAGTTATAGAAAGTATGTATAGTAAAATCTCATTTTTGTTTACACAAGACTATATCCTACCTGTAAAGATATATGCAACCATATATATGATTTTGTGTATATATACATATATATATACATATATACACACACACACACACATATGTGCATATACTATACGTGTGTGTGTGTGTATATACACACATACATACATACATATATGGGCAAAGTAAGTTTAACATTGTAATACAAATAAATAATAAAATAATATAATACAAGAATAAACTCTGTTTCGCATACTCCCAACAGTAAACCTACTTTTGCCCATCCCTGTATAGAAAGCTGTTTATAGATTTTTGTAATAGAGAGAAAAAGATCATAAAGGATACTTTCCAATCCGTTAATGGTAGTTTTTTTCTTCAAAAATGAAATTATAAGAAATTTACACTTTTTTTCATATTCCTTTTAGATTGTGTGTGTGTGTATATATATTAAAAATATATTATTAAAATAAAACATTTTTACAAATAAAACATTTTTTAAATCATTGCATAGTAAGTACAGTGTGTTTCTACAACAACCAAGAAAGATTTCAGAACCATTTACATTTGTTTTGTTTAAACATTTCTGCTGTATGTACAAAATAGAAAAAGAAGAGATGTCTTCAAACAAGCTTTTAGTACTTTTCTCAAAAAGACAAGACAACTACCACCACCATAAATATTCCAACATAGGCTGAAACAAACTAAAGAGCTTGTTTTGATATATTTACATACTAAAATACTTCCATACCTCTTTCACTTGCCGAAGCAATGCACTTTTACTAGCAATTTCTTTTTTCTCTTGGTCTGGTGATAACCGTAAATATTCTCTGGATCTATGTGGTTTAAGGTTCATTTTTGTATATAATCTTCCCTGCAGACTATCAAATAATACACTCAAAGCTCGAGGCAGAATGCCAGTATTTTCTTCTGTGCCTGTGAAAAGAATTTTTGTTTTATACTCCCTTAGAGTTAAGAAAGCAAGGACATCCCTGGACTACCAATGCTCCTTTTATACCACTATAGACAAAAGTAAACAGCTAAGACAAATGTGAGAGAAAGTGAAGAATTACTCAGTTTATCACTTTGGTTCACTGTGGCTCACATTTTATCAATTACTATTTTGATGCAAAACCTGAAATTTCACATTCAGATTATGCCATAGATTTGCAATCACCCATAATCACAAAGTATAATAGTAAAATGAAACAAAGTTGTTCCCTGGTTATCCATGCTCAATTCACTATGTCACATCAATCGTTTTTTCTGAATTTTTATCATCTAATTCTCTATCATATGGGTAAAGTAGTTTCATAAATGACTTAACTCAATGTGAATTAAAAGCCATCAGCAGTACACATTCAATTATTCATTACTATTAAAAATGGAGCAAATGTACTAGGTGATGGAAACATAATTACATGCAAGTATTATATGAGTGGATATTAGTACTTCATTTTTTCTAACAACAAAAAAGCAACAAAGCAATTTACCTTGAAATGTATATGTTTTTCCTGAATTAGTTAGCCCATAAGTAAAAATCAGCCGACTTTGTCCTTTCAAAAAGTCTTTTACTGGCTCCATAATGCAACCCTGGAAGAATTCCTTCTGTGTAGTTTCTGGACCAAAAACCTAAATAAGCATTTTAAAAACAAATCTTTTTAGAAAATTCAAGTTAATATTCACAGTGAGTTCTACCCTACCTCTGCGTATATGAAAATCCTGAAGAGGAGAAATAGAACCCCCCAAAAAAGAGAGAGATAAATGTTTAAATTTATTTCTTTTTGTAAATGAATCTCTCATGTTTAAAAATGTTACATCATTTTATGATTCATCCTTAAAATAGGTGCCATATCCCTAACTCTCACAAGTAAACTTGATAGTTTACCTACTCTGATGAAGTTTTTAAGATAGAATTCTGACCCAACCAAACAAGTTTTCATCTGAACTGGGGGGGAGGAGGGGATTTTTTTAAGAAAAATTTATTATAAGAACTAAACTGTGATTTATTCACATATAAATTTATAGACCTGGAATTTGAATCCTACCCTTGAGAAAAAAATACTAGTGCCTAAGATCTAAGTTCCATAAGCAGAAGATAAATATAGCTAATTATATACAAATATGTAGCAATTTAACCTAAGACAAGTATCTTTGTCTTCAGCCCTAGCCGGTTTTGCTCAGTGGATAGAGCATTGGCCTGCAGACTTGAAGGGTCCCGGGTTTGATTCCCAGGCAGCCAATTCATGATTCTCTCTCATCATTGATGTTTCTATCTCTCTCCCCCTCTCTGAAATCAATAAAAATATTTTTAAAAAGAAAAAGAAAAATCTTCAGATTCATATGAGTATTTACCTTAGAAAAACTGAATTTCTGTGCCACCTGCCCAGAGCTTTTCTCACTTAACCGAGCAAGGATACTTTGAGGATCTTTCAGCAGAACAGTGTGTGAGTCCAGCATATACACACAGCCCTAGAACAAACAAATAAAAATAATCCCACAATAATAACATTAATAATAACAATTACCGTATTTGCCGGCGTATAAGACGACTGGGCGTATAAGACGACCCCCTAACATTTCCACTCAAAATACAGAGTTTGTTATATACTCGCCGTATAAGACTACCCCCTCTTCCGCACACCTTCCACACACCAAATAAAAGGTAAAACAATATCAGATTTGATTTTAACATTTTAATTTATATTCAAATGCTTATGACATGCAGGAAAACTGTCACAAGGCTGTATGTAATCAAACATATACATAAAACAGTGCAAGTTTATTACCGGTAAACATACCGGTAATTCACTAAAGAAAACACACTCTATAGACTGGTACCGTAGATGCTTCTCAGGAACACAGGCAAGCAGCCCACAACCTAGAGGGACTGTCAATGATAGAAGTAAGATAACAAATAGAGGTAGAGAGCAAGTGCCGGGCAAGTCCCTAGCAA